TTGTTGGCGGGGGTGAGGTGGCGCGTCCCTGCCCTGCCCGCGGTGGGCACCTTCCCGGCGCTTTGTCCGGACTCCGCTGGGGCTCGTGGCGGCGGGAACTTAGGCGAGGGAAGCAGGGATGGTGAGCGGCCGCGGTGGGGCCCCGGGCAGGAACCGAACTCCTCTCGGCACCCAAGGCCGGGCCCTGCACAACGGAGGATCTGGGCGTCCGGGAGGGCGAGGGGCGGTCTGAGCGAGCGCGGCTCACGGGACTGTTTCTGCTTTGCCTTCAGCCGAAGCAGCTTCCCGACAAGTGGCAGCACGACCTTTTCGACAGCGGCTTCGGAGGTGGTGCGGGCGTGGAGACGGGGGGAAAGCTGTTGGTGTCCAACCTGGACTTCGGAGTGTCAGACGCGGATATTCAGGTAGGAGCAGCGCTTCCCGGCGACCTTTTCTCCCTGCACCGACGGGCCCGTCCTCGGGATGAGGTCCTCGGTCCCCACCTCGTCGGGGCCTGAGCTCCCCGGTGCCCGCTGTGGGATTCCGGCGGCCGCCAGGCAGATGGGAGCCCAGGGGCGAGCAGGGTGTGCTAGGGTGGAGGTGACAGGAGGTCTTGGCTGGAGAGGCCCTCTTCCTCACTGAAATTGTTGAGTCGTCTGCTAGGGCTTCCAGTTTCTAACAGGCCCAAAGATTGGCTGGATGTGAGGAAGGGTTCTTGAGGTTCCTGGCTCCCTAGATGCTGTGCCTGTTTCAGTGAGCTCTCTGCTGCCCACACAGCATAGAGGAGGTTGTAGCTGTGTTTCGTAGCCCTGTGTACCTTCTCTCAGTCTTATTGGCTTGATTTTTTACATTTGTCTCTGGCTGCGGTCTTTTGTTTACTTCTTTGATTGGATTCCAAAGACGTTTAAAGTTTTTTGGTCAAAAAGCAACTTCTGGGCAGGGGAATGTGTTTCGGAGATGGCTGGGTCAGGATGCTGGGCCTCCTTGGGTTCCATTTCCCAGAGCCTAGCCATTTTGGCCTTGCCATGGGAGGACAGAGCAAGACCAGTGAGCACTCACAGTGTCTCAACACTTTTTTTAAGGTGGTTTCTGGCATCCACTGGAAACCGCTTTTGGTGAACACCACTTCCCGCTGTGTGCCTGCGGCCGGAGTAGCCCCACACTCTGGGTTCCCTCTCCAACTCCCAGCCTGCCTGAGGTCAGGGCAGTTTCCATGGCGTGCTTGACTTCGGTCAGACTTTGCGGCAGGCTTGAGTAGGAGGAGAGGGAAAGGTGAGCCAGAATCTGCTTTTGGGGGAGGTGCTGGGGTCAGGGCTCCTGGACCAGTGGGCCCTTTGAGCTGGTACAGTCTCCTGGGCAGTCCCTCTCACTCTTGCTCTTGTCCTTCGTTTTGTGAAATAGTCTTTGGGTGTGTTACAGGTTTTCTTTCATTGAGAAGTATGATTTATTTTGTCCCTATGCTGGGGGTGTTTTGACTTCATTTACCTGCATCGTGTTACAGAAAGATATCATCAGGTCCCCAAATAGGCAGGAGCTGTCCAACCCAGGTGCTTTTGGAAGTTGCTTTTCCTCCTGCCCCACCCTTTCCTTCAGCTTCTTACCACTGCACTGCTTCCCTTGTAGAGGGTTGCCAGGGAAGACCCCTAAAGCGCTTACATCCTCAGGGACTGACCCTGGGCCACTGGAAGGAAAATGGCTTAGTTGCTTTAACAGCTGCTTTTTCTGCCTCAGGAACTCTTTGCTGAATTTGGAACACTGAAGAAGGCAGCTGTGCACTATGATCGCTCTGGACGAAGTTTAGGAACAGCAGATGTGCACTTTGAACGGAAGGCAGACGCCCTGAAGGCTATGAAGCAGTACAACGGGGTCCCCCTGGATGGTGAGTCTGGAGCTGGGCCCAGGATGCCTGTGGGGCTTGTGGAGTTTGGGGCTGGCACCTGTCCCTCTAGGAATATGGGTGGCCCCTCTGGCTGAGGACACTTTGCATTTGCCCCTTTGTCTCTCTCTTCCATTCTGCCACCTCTCATGCTGCCCCACACATCTGGACCAACCTCTTGTGAACCCCCATCCAGCAAGCTACATCCCTCCCCTCCTTCAGCTCCTTCCGGAAGATTCACTTCTGTGAAGCCTTCTCGGAACCGCCATAGTACACCTGAGTGCGGGGCTGTAGTCGTAAAGACAAAGGTACCTGTTCTTCTTCCGTCAGGTCACCCACACCTGTCCACCCATGAGCACCCCAGACACCTGACCAAACAGCCCACCTGCCTGGTGTGAGAAGGAGTGAGGAGGTGTTGGCGGGGTTCTTTTATTGCCATTCTGTTATCCCACCAACTCTCCAGATGGTTTCCCTTATTGGGGGAGCTGGAGATGTACTGAGGCCCTTTCCAGAGCTTGCATGGAGACCAGGGTATGGTGCCTCTGGGTTAGCTTCAGAATCTCTGAAATGAACCCTCTTGTTCTTTCCTACAGGCCGTCCCATGAACATCCAACTTGTCACATCACAGATTGAAACACAACGGAGACCTGCACAGAGGTGAGTTCCGGGGCCTTGGAGCCTGTGGTGTATGGTCATGTCATTTTCAAGTCCTTTAAAAGCCACATAGTTGGGCCGGGGGATTTAGTTTCAGTGGTTCTACCACCTACCTGCCTCACAAGCACAAGGTCCCAAGTTCAGTTCCCAATACCCAAAAAAAAAAAAAAAAAAAAAAAAAAAAAAAAAGCCACGTAGTTTAGTGAGTTCTGTTTTCCTTGCTAGCATAAACAGAGGTGGCATGACTAGAAACCGTGGCTCTGGAGGTTTCGGTGGTGGTGGCGGCGCCCGGAGAGGGACCCGTGGAGGCAGCAGGGGAAGAGGCAGAGGCACTGGCAGGAACTCAAAGCAGCAGCTTTCTGCGGAGGAGCTGGACGCACAGCTGGACGCCTATAATGCAAGGGTGAGTCCTGTGGGGACTGACGAGGGCAGGGGACAGCTGACCGAAATTGGGAGGGGCTGGAGCCCAACTGACCTTCTGTCCTCCTGTTTCAGATGGATACCAGCTAAACTGCCGACCGAGTGGAGAGGACCCAGTGCTTCGTCTGCTCTCTTGGGAGGAGGGGATGGGGACTGGGCTGTGTGGCCAATGACAGACTTGTTTCTTTTATGTTTTAAGATAGGATTTAAAAACTCATGTAAAGGTTTTTTTCTTTTTTCATTTTCTCTTTTTTTTTTTTTTTTTTCTTTCTTTTTTTTTAAATTCTGAAACAGACCTGTTTTGTACCGAGTTATTTTTGGGATAAATTTTACTGGTTGCTGTTGTGGAAAAGGTGGCATTTTCACCTTTGCCATAATAAAATAGAAATGTGTGTAGAACTGTGATTGTCCGTGTGTTCTGGGCTCTGCCCTGCAGGAGGGGAGGGCAGTGGGCTGACTGGCACCTGGCGTGGGGTGGGGTGGGGTCAGTGGTCTGGAGGCTGAGCTGCCACCTTCCCATCTTCCCTGCTATTTCTAATTCCTTCCTCTCTAACTCGATAGGTGGGAGGACACCAGAGAAGCGGTGGCCCTTTGCCTGGAGCTGCCTCTTCACTGCCTAAGCCATGAGGTGAGGGGGTAGTGGGCCACACTGCGCCACTGGGAGTCCTTCCACAACCTGTGGATATTTCTGGGCTGTTTTGTTTCTCTTGCACTGTTGTCTCAGACACCTGATCTCATGGTTTGTCCCCACTCTTCCTGTTGCTTTTTGCCACAAAAAGGGAGGTGTTAGGGTGCCCCCTTAATTGTGTGTGTGTCCCTCAGTGTCATTGGGTAATGGTTTCTGGGCTGGTTGAGTCTGGATATGAGTTGTTGTCCATGTTTGGTAGAATAGTTAATGGGAGCTGAGGTCAAGTTAGTTACATTCATCTGAGAGCAGGGTGAGATGGGAAAACCTTGTACCACTTTCAGATGCTGGTGGTGAGTGGAGTGGAGAATGGAATGGGACTGAGGTGGCTCCTGACCTCTGTCTCCCCTCCTACTGCGGGGATGCCAGGAGGGCCAGGGGCGGTAAGCATCTGCTGGGCTGAGAACTGGACACAGCCCAGATCCGGTTGGCTCCTGTTTAGATGGGACTGACCAGGTCATCTGGAGGGAGACTGACCAGTTGCCTTTAAACAACAATGCTGCTATAGATCAGCAGCTGCCACTTAACGCCAGCCCTGTGCCCGGGAAGGCCACCACTGGGAGCAGGGTACTGATTGCAGCCCTCCAGCAGGGAGGAGCTACCAAGTGTCTGGCGGAGGAGTTGCTGTGGAAGGAGCGGGCATGAGAGCAAGAATCTGGTCTTACAGTGAGGGACGAGGCGGCCTTGGGGTGTAAGCATGGAGCAGACCTAACCACATATCCACTGCTTGGCAAGCTGGGAGAGACCTGGAGCCAGCACTGCTGCCAGCCGGGCTGGGCAGTAAGTGCCTAATGGGACAAAGGAGCAGGGGTTAGGAGCCTTGGGCAAAACCAGGGAAGGGGCTCACGAATGAAGCATTTTGATAATGTGATTCTGGGGAGGCCTCAGGAAGGACCAGGTATAAGGTGACAGCCACTGACTGCTCCTTAGTTTTTGTTTTTTTGTTGTTGCTGTTTCAGTTTTGTTTTTTGTCTTTTGAGATAGGGTCTCACTATGTAGTTGAGCCTGACCTAGAACTCACTATGTAGCCCAGGCTGGTCTCGAACTCAAAGCGATCCTCCTGCCTCAGCCTCCCGAGTGCTGGGATTACAGGTGTGTGCCACCATGCCAGGCTGGCTGCTCCTTAGTGGTCGTGGGAGCTGGGTGGACAGCTGCTTTTCCTGCAGGAAGGGTAATGCTGTGGTGCCTACTGGACCCTACTTGAACTGGCTGCAGTGGAGATGGGAAGGTGATGTCGCAGGGACAAAAGCCAGTGTTTGCTATGGGGATGGGAGTGTTGTCCAGAAGGTAGAGGCCTGGGCTGGCTGTTGTGACTAATGTGACTAGACCAGCCCCTATGCTCCTGTGGGCCACCCTCTTGGTGGCAGTGAGTTTGCGCTCCCTTGTTTGCAAAGCAAGGAAGCTGCCTTGGACTCTGGGCGGAAGGCTGCATCTTGTCCAAGCTGGGGTTGAGACAGGTTCTCTGTGGATAGTCAAGCTGGGGACTTTTTGAGGAAAGAATGGGGCTAGTGTTGACCTCAGAGAGAGAAAGTGGCAGCCAAGGACTTGGTAGGCCAGCCTGGCATCTGGAGGGTGGAGGAGGCAGGGCTCCCCAACTGGGTTGCAGTGTTTCTCCCGTGAGAGCTCCTGTGAGTGAAAGGACGAAAGGAACCTGGTGTTTTGCAAGTTTTTCTCCACGCTTCTTGCTCCCAGAAACATGCCTGGGAAGGTCAAGTGGAGTCAGAACCCCAGCATGGCTGGGACAGAACCCAAGGCATGGGACACTGCTGCCTGGCCTCTGCTGGAGTCCTGTGAGGACATCCGGCCAGGGAAGAGCCAGGGAGCGGGGAGTGCAGGAGCTGGGCCCAGTGAGTGAGGAGCCCATTGAGTGGAGCTGGGTATTTTCCTTATGCTGTCCTCTCCTGCCTGGGACTGGGGTTTTAAGCTGAGTCCTTTGCACTGAGACCTATATCCCCAGCTCTTTTATTTATTGAGTCAGGGTCTCACTGAATTACCTGGGCTAGGCTCAAATGTAGAATCCTGCCTCAGTGTCCCAGAGTGCTGGAGTTAGAGGTGTGTACCACTGTTCTTTGCTCATAGGGTCTTTATGGAAGGTGATTGACACCACCAAAATTTACCCTCTGAAAGCAGGTACACAGTGCAGTGGCCATTGAGTTCACACCACCATCACCACCTACGCAGGTCTGTCCAGTTGTGGGCCGTAGACAGCCTGGACAGCAAGTAATACAGGCCCCCCCGAGGACTGCAGACTTTCAGCTTCATTATGTGATTTCTGGTGATAGTGTTCGTGACTCGAATGTCCTGTATGGGGTACAGTGTTGATGGGCAGCACAGTGCTGACACCCCCTCCTGTGTCCACCACACAGTCAGTTAAAACCACACACGTCAGACTACACGTGCATGTGCTCCTTGGCGGGCAACTGATTACCAGTGATGGTGTCTTGAGATCTGGATGTGGCGACACACACCCCTGATCCCAGCACTTGGGAGGCTGCATCTCGAGGCCAGCCTGTGCTACAGGAGTTCATGTCTGTCTCAAAAAGAAACACAAAAATAGCATTTCAGCCCACCTGCCTGCACGTGTGCCCATAGGCATTCTGTTTTTCTAGTTAGCTGTGAAGGTGAGGCTGGGGTGTAGCTCAGTGGTAAGCACTGCTTTCCATCCCCAAGGTGTTGGGGTGCTGGGCACTCTGCAGGGTTTTGTGTACTTTTTGATATTCGAGTTCATAAAAAAGAAGTGAGAATAGTAAAATGATTTACTCTATACCTCGAGCTCCTGAGTTAGGGTCTACTATTTTTTGTTCATAGTTTTTTTTAACTTACTGAAAGTAAGTTGGGGCTGGGTGATTTAGCTCAGTGGTTCCACTGCTTGCCTCACAAGTGCAAGGTTTGAGTTTGATCCCCAGTACCAAAAAAAAAAAAGTAAGTTGGGTTTGCTCCAAAGTTACATTTTACCCCTAAGTTCTGGGGTTTTTTTTTGGTACCGGGGTTTGAACTCAGGACCTTGGCTTGTGATGTAGGTGTGCCACTGAGCTACATCCCCTCCCCCCGCCCCCTCCTGGTTTTTTGTTTTGTTTTGTTTTTTGCAAAGACACTCTGTTACATAGATATTAGCATCAGTACAGTGCTGCTACCTAAACTATTCACATTTAGTGCATGTCCTAATAAAGTGAAATGTTTTTCCTAGTCCATACCATTACATTAACTATCCTGTTTATGTGTGCACTCATGTGTGTGGAACCTAGAACCTTCACACAGCAATATCCCTAGCCCATTTTTATTTTCTATTTTGAGACAGGGTATCACTCTGTTCCCCAGGCAGTGGAGATACTCAAAGTACAATCCTGCCTGAGCTTCCCAGAGTGCTGGGGTTATAGGCATGCACTACCACACCCATTGCACTCTACAACCAACCCATATCCCCGGCCCTTTGTTTCTTTTTGTCTTTTTTTTCACTATGTAGTTCAGGCTAGCCTTGAACTCACTGTGTAGCCCCAGCTGGCCTCCAACTCAAGAGAATTCTGCCTCAGCCTCCCAGGCACTGGGATTACAAGTATGCACCACTACACCTGGTTCCCAGACCTTTTTAAATTCTATTTTGAGATAAGGTTTTGCCAGGTTGTCCAGGCTGGCCTTGAACTTGGAATCCTGCCACCTCTGCCTCCCAAGTAGACTAGAGATCTTAAACTCCTCCCTTGTGTGGGCTCCAAAGGCACTCTCTGCCCCTTTGCTTGTCCTACCATCCTCTCCCTTGGTGATGCCTCCAGCACCTCTGAGGTGCCCTGAGGGTTCCAGAGTAAGACTGACCTCTGGGTCCCTTGGACTCAGCGTGTCTTACAGCTGTGTGCCCTCATGTGCAACCCTAAGTAATCCTCAAAACCAAAACTTTGCTGGTTCCATAATACTAAACAAAAGTACCAGAACATGGGCCAAGGATGTAGTTTAGTGGTTCTGCCACCTGCCTCGCAAGCACAAGGACCCAAGTTCAATCCCTGATACCAAAAACAAAAAGTACCAGAACATGACAGGATTTGGTGGTGCATGCCTATGATCCCAGGAATGTGGGAGTCTGCGACAGTTACAAGTTCAAGCCTAGCCTGGGTGATTTAGCAAAATCCTATGTCAAAATAGAAAAGGGTTAGGGATGTATATCATTTTGAAGGCCCTGAGTTCAAAATCCAATAACAAAAACACATAAGCCATATATATGTGTGTGTATATATATAGTTTTTAATTTTTATTTATTTATTTTGGCAAAATAGAGTACCATCAGAGTAATGTGGCTGTCAGATTATGTTACAGCTTTTATCTAGATGTCCCCCAAAAGCCTCATGTGCTCTTAGGTGGGCTTTTGGGAGGTGCCTAGATCATGGGTGTGTGGAACTGGAAGAATCCACTGAGAGGTTCATAGCTGGATGGTAGGAAGAGGTGGTCACTGGTCATGGCAGGAAGGTGTTAGTGTATAAAGAGATCCTTTGCTATATCTGGCTGCCTCCTCTGCCCTCTGCCTGGAGCCAGCCTACTCTGGACTGAAACTTCTATGAACTGAGCTGCATACAGCTTTCTGCCTTTAATTTACTCTGCTGGCTTGAGCCACTGGTGGGGCACGAAGGACTCTCATTGGGTGGTTTGAATCACGGAGGTACATACATAACATCAGACAATAAAATTCAGG